ATAATAAAATAATTTGTTAAAAGTGTATATACAAAATGTTGTATTGATTTCTTTTTTTTTTTCTTTTTTAAAAAACAATATCATAAAAAGGGTAAAAAAAATAAAAGGAAAAAATAATATGTCTACAAAAATTTAATTTAATTAATATTTTAATTAGTTAACAAAATTAATGTGTTTTGTATTTTTTGTTCAAATGATAATGGATAAAAAAAATATTAATTACAAAATAAAAAAGCATTTGATGGAATCACAAAAACACACAATTTAACATATCAAACAAATAGATATAAAAAAAATCAATAAAACAGGAAATGATAAAAATAATGAGTCTTGCATTAATAAAAATATTTACATCACACAGAGACATAATAACAAGAAAGATAAAGGCTTGCATGGAATTTATGAGAGAGTACAAGATGTTGTTATCTCCAACTCAAAATTTGATAAATGAACAATGATGTGTGAAAAAATGAAAGTTTTGGAAGAAGATAAATTCCAATTATATGCTTTTCTATTTTAAAAAGGGTTAATATATTTGTAACAACTTGTTATGATCCTTACACTTAACAACTCAATATCTAGCAACGAAAAATAAATAACATCTGCCTAAGGATTACATCAAGTGGCTAATGGATACTCAACTCTCACTATATACATACATATTTACAACTAAAAAGACACATAATATGTGTGTATACCTATACAATAATCCAAATAACCAAGTGAAACTCTAGGTATCAATCAAGTGCATCTATACAAAACTACACAGTAGTAGTATCAAAAAACATCACTCCACCATTTGTCAGATGACCTCTAATGCACAAAACCTTATACCTATCTCTATTTTGCTCTTATATTAAGTATGATTATTGCAGTCCAACCATACGAAATTATGCAAGGGTAAGCTAAAGTTCAAAGAATAAACATAGTTAGAATATAAGTAAAACAACTATACAATTAACATGAATAACTCAATCTATTACAACATAATGTCAACCAACAATTTTCAATACAATAACGCATATTTTCAACTTATACATCACATCATCAACACCGCAATTTGCAACATAATATCACATTTCATCACAAATCCACATTGTAACACAACATCAACAATTCGGATTTCAACACAACAACATAGTATATACAACGTAACAACTACATGTATCATCACGTATTTTGACTAGGAGATCTCCTACAACACAGGTGAATAATTTAAGTGGTTTGACCTTATCAAATCAACAACACAAGGTGATACTTTTGAACTTGATAAATCAACAATAAATTTGAATATGAATCCATAACACAACATGGTTAATCGAATGTCGCTACTTAAATTAAAAAATTTAGTACTCCTATCGAGGTAGAACGATAATGACCTGCCATAGCCATCACACTTACGGATCACAACTGTAACTACTACTTAGGATCATATACTCACAATACCAGGATATGTACACTGTAGTAGGTAAATGTTTAAATATAACTAAAACAACTATACAAGTATATATACAATAATCTGATAAGTACAAAATATAAAATCCTAAGTTATCGATCAAACAACGTTTATATAGGCCAACAAAAGTAGTTGTTAACTACATCGCTAATGATATGGCCTCACTACAGCTCCAAAAGCTCTCTCTCCAGCTAACTTTGCCTTACTCTTATGAAAATCATAATCATCGCAATTTAAACCACATGAAAAATATACAAGGATAAACTATATTTCAAAAGAATTAACATATCAATAGCCCAAAGCCCAATTTAACAAAATAAAAACAACATACATCGTGGAATTTAGAACTGAAGCCTTTAACAAATTACAACTTAGCATATAGGCAACACAACTTTTCAATGATGTGTTACGTCGCTTAGCAAGAAGCCCTAGGGGGCTCAACTCACTCAACTAGATGTTGGTTACTCAACGAGAAGCCCTAGAGGGCTCAACTTGCTTAGCTAAATGTTGGTGGCTCACTTAGATATTTGTCGCTTAGCGAAAGGCTATAAGGAGCTCAGTCTATTGAACGAGGTAACATCCCTTAATGACTATTGCTTGGATGTTTTACCTTTGTGATTTTTATACTACCTTTTTACTAATAACTAACTAATGTATTTAAAAATGTACATGAGATATATGAAGTAATATGAGAAATATGTGATACATGAAGTGAGATCATGTGTATGTTATTGCATCGAGTTAGTCTGACATGCATCAATGACATAAAATATGTTTTTGGGGTATAATGTGGAATACACCGGTAAGAAAGGTCCTTTTTGTAAAATTTTGGGAATCAACCTTAGGGATAACTCAATTTGGAATGTCTTAGTCCTATTATCATGTGCATGGGATATATCTTATACGATTTAGCTATCTCAACCATACTCTGGTAATATGTCCTCTTATTGCGAGTGTGCAAAGAGTGTGACCCAACATGCACTCCTATACTACTCTACGTGTATTGTTAGTGGCAATGGACAAATGTAATGTTTTTACTAATGTCAAATACATGATAACATGTATTCCGTGTCCATTGCATATGCATTATAGTGTTAACTGTTATTATTTATTATGTCATGAATAAACCAAACATGATAATGATATTGTATGTGTATGTTATGTCATATCTTGTCGTATGTCTTATTTGTGTTTGATTATCCGATTTGCATTTCTACACCATGAGTCAAAGTGAGATATTTCTTACACCCTTTTTATATTTATTGTTGCTCTTATGTTTATTTTGCAAGTGATGATCAATATGATGCTGAAAAATGTTGGTGATGAGGTTTAAGCTCCATGTTAGGTTTTTCTGATATGTGACAGTAGAGTATAGTTAGAACTTTGTTTTTGTTGGTTCATTTGGAAAACATTAGTTTTTAGTTTCTTTGTAATTTTTATAGTTATGTTATGTCATTTGTTTAAGATACAAAATATGAGTCTTTATACTTGTAAAAATTTTGAGTTATTTTATTATATTGACTTTATTTAATTTTTATATTTTCATGTGTTATAGTATGAAGGGTAGAAAGTGCCACAAAATTGTTTTATTTTAATTTATATTTATTATATTTTAAATAAAATATATTAAATTTAAAATAATTAAAAATAATCATGTGCCACAATATATATTATTTTATTTATGAAATATAATTATTTCACATGTTAAATATGTATTATATAACTAAGTTTCACAATAAAACATATACAAATAAATAATATATAAATTATATTTAAAATATATTTAAATACATAAATTATATTCTAGATTTATGATAAATAATTTATATTATAATATAAAATTATTTTAATTGTTGATTATTTATTTTTAAAATATTAAAAATTAATTTGTAAATAAATCAACTTCTATATATTAAACGTGAAGATCTATCTTATACGAGAGTGTTTTTAGGAGATTTTTTTCCAACAACAAGATTTATAAGAATTTTTATAACTTCTTATCTAATTTAATTTTTATTTATCATAATAATTTATTAATTAAATATTAATATTTTAAAATAAATTATGAATAGATAACAACTATTTTTTTACAATACAAATTATTTATCATAAATCTAAAATATAATTTATATGTATAAAAATATTTATGTATATTTATTTTAAATATAATTTATATGTTAAAATATAATATTTTTATATATAATTTATTATAAATTTTAATTATATTATTTATAACTATTAGGGAAAAAGGCACTTTGTGCCTCTTAATTATTTTAAAAAAAATAAAAATAAATAATAAATAATAAAATGGACAACAAGTAGTTATTAAAGAGTGTGGCCAACCACTAGGATATTAGTCTAGTGGTTGGGTAGGGAGAGATTGAGGTAGTTAGAAGTATGAGGATCTAGGTTGAATCTTCATTGCGACCATTTTTGTAATCTTTCTTATCTTTACAAAAAAAAAGTGTGGCTAAATTACCGATTTTTTGGAGTTTTTAAAAAATTAAAAATAATGAAATATGTAATTATCGAATAGTGTGAGGAAGTTGCTAATGAAATGACATTATAAACTCATAATTTTCTAATTTTTCCTTAACAATTGAAGGGTTTAATGGTCCAATTGAAAATAGAAATAAAAAATAATTATAAAGAATAATATTTCCTTTGTATACTAATATAAATAAAAATGCATGTGCATTGCATATACTAAAATATTATTATTAAAATAAATAAGAAGTTAAAAGAATTTTTAAAAACACTCTCTTATCGCATAAAAACATATTATATAGGGAAATTTCTAGATATAAGGTAACCAATTCTTAGAGTAATTTAATTTAGTGAAGAGATGAGGAAAACTCGATTAAAAATTGTATTTAATATACAAGAATGAATTTATGTATTTAGATTTTTTTTATATAAATTATAAATTAATATAAATTATATATTAAATATAATATTTATTCATATTTTAGGTTTTTATAATTTTATATATAATAAATATTTGACATGTACATTTTACAAATTAAAATCGATTCATATATATTATACATGAACCTTTACTTTACACATGACTGTTTTTAAGGATTTTTTTTAAAAACTAGAAGGTTTGTAATTATTATTTTTTTATTTTCTAATTTAATTTTTATTTATTATAATTATTATAAATTAATATTAATATTTTAAAATAATTTATTAGTAAATAAAAATAAAAATTGTTTACAACATAAATTATTTATCATAAATTTAAAATATAATTTATATATTTAAATATAATACTTTTTATATACTATATTATATTATATTATATATATATATATATATAATTTTAACATACTAGTAATTGTATAATTTAGAATCATATTTTCATCCGAGAGTGATTTTAGGAGGTACAATATTTTTTAACTAGAGTGATTTTAGCTGATTTTTTTAATGGTAATATCTGTAGATAATTTTTAATTTTGCATCGATTTTGATTCATCTTAATTTTATTTTATTTAAAATTTTATCTGATGTATATGAAGTATGAACCCTTGTGGGCTAGTATTATGATCCGATTAGAAAACGAGGTTAGACAAACCCAGATCGAGGACTAGTGGAGAATAGGATTCATATTGGTTAAAACGTACCGTTTAAAGAGAAGCAGTGTTTCAGTGGTTAGGTCTTCTCTGTGCTAAGCTGCACCCTACACACACTGCTTCTTCTTTATTCTAATCCCATCCTCTCTCTCTCTCTCTCTCTACACTTTCAGACGCATCTCCCAATTACTTTCCAACCATGACGGGTAATTCATTGTTCTTAATTTTATTTTTTATTTTTTAATTTTTCCCCCTTTTCGTTTTTCGTTTTGCAAATTCCTCATTTTGTTAATTTTGGACACTGCCCAATACGACACCGTTGGTTAAGCCTTCTTTGATGATGCGTGTCACGCAGACTTCAAACAAGAACAGGATATGGAGATTGAAGCATTAGAAGCTATACTTATGGAGGACTTCAAAGGTTTGTTTATTTATGCCATTTAAGATATTATATATTATTATGCAAAATTTACTTTTTTTTTTTCTTTCTTAATAATAAAAAAGGGCTTGATTTTCTGTTTGACATTCCATGTAGAAATACACTCTGGTGAAAGTGGCCTAAGTACTTCCAATCGGTGCTTCCAAATAAAGGTTGTTGCGCAGGTAAATGTTACCCCTCTCTTTTAGTGTGGTTGCTAATGTTATGTATTTTTGTTTTTACTTCTCATTTTTTAAGTCGGAAGAGTTGGTTTGTAGTAACATGTATGGTGGTATTCTGTGATCCATATAGCTGGCCCTACCTGGCGGAAAATACTTTTGCTGTTGTTGAAATCTATGGCATGGATAACTATGATAGTTGCTCTTATGTAGCTTATTTAATTATGATGGAAGCATTTTGTGTTTATGTTATAGTGATCCATATATTTTAATAATCGTTTAATTTTTCTTATTCTATTTAATGAAGTTCTCCTGTTGTTGAGAAGAAGAGAACATGTCCCGGTTGTTTGTAGTGTTCTGACGCTCATTTAAATTATTTGGAATATTATTAATGTCTTTTTTTGGTATAGAGTAGAGTAGCTTGTTGTGCTCTGTTTGCTGTAGTTTTATCTTTTGGGGATTTGGAAGTTGGGTTATTTCTATTATTCCCCCGCCTGCTGATTGATGCAATGTACTTAGGGAACTGAGATGTCTTCCCTATCGAATAACTTGGCAAAAAATATCCTTATATTTTTTTAAATATTATTCATTTGTTCAGGATGACGACGTAGATGGGCCAATAACTAATCCAGGTTTATTTTTCTCTCTCTTTGATATATTATGCTCTTTTCCATTTTGGTGTTGTACTTCAGATTTTGGAATATCTTGTTTTTCTTCCTAAGATGTTGCTTTACTTTTGGAGATTATTTACTGCATAAAATATGAAAGATGCAATTGATATTTTTGTTGCAGCTCAACTGGCTTTGATCTTTTCACACACAGAAAAATATCCCGATGAACCTCCACTTTTAAATTTGAAAAGGTCAGTATTGCTATTATAGTAATATAATATTTATTATTTTTGTTTGTGTGTCCAGTTAATGTCAATTGCATTACGAATGATTTTGTTTCATTTATTATACACTAATATTACGATGTGGCCATATTTCACCAATACTCAACAGTTTGCAAGGACTATCAACCGAAGATCTAAGGATTTTGAAAGAAAAACTTCAACAAGAGGTAGTCTTTTACAATGCAGTTTTGTTATTTAATGTTTGAGCATATCTGGTCTCTGTGCTATTCTTGCACTGGTTGTCATTCAGATTGAAACACATATTGATAGCCACTTGGAATTTAATATGTCTGCAGTTGTTATGTGTGCATTTTCATGTTGCACAAACAACTAATGGTTATGGAACTCTAGATTTGTTGTGGATTCTTGCTGGGTTGTGGAAATTTTGATGCAAAAATTGTGTTCCACAGGCATCTGAAAATCTTGGTATGGCTATGATCTATACACTTGTTACCTCAGCTAAAGAGTGGTTGGCTGACCGGTTTTGTGAAGATTCTGCTGCTGAGATTATTGAAGCAGAAGAAGCAGCCAAAGATGATGTAAGACTGTCATCTATTTTATGATTTCTTTTGAAATTTTGGTTTGTGTGTTTCAATTGAATTATTTTTAGAGATTATTTCAATTATCAATTATATATAGTTATTTATTATTATAATCAATTATATGAAATTTTAATGTCAGGACTTTGGACATGTTAGGTGAAAACTAGTTTTAAGATAATCTATTTTGTTTAGATTGTCTAAAGTAATCATTTTTGTTATAGTAAAATTACTATAAAAAAAAAGGTATGAGCTATGAACTTATTTGTAGTGGTTGACTCTGCATTTAAATTAATCAATTGTTAGTGACAAAATAGGAAAATAGAAGTTAGCTAGAAAGTTATTTGTTAGGTATTAACCATATTCTTCAAAATCTTGCTTATTTGAAAATAACGTTTTTCTTTGTAATAGAATAATCTAAGATTGTCATCTGCTGTTCACCAATATTACCAAACAAGAGAGAACAATACTATAAACAGTTTTTAAGGAAACAGATTATAATCTCTAAAAATTATCCAATCCAAACTTGGGCCTAGTTGAATGCTTTCTACTTTCCAAGAGTAAAATAGTATAATTTTTTATATTACTGAATGTTAGTAAGCTGCGATGCACCGGTGAATGCACATGGTGAAACAATTGAAATTGTATAGTAGTCAAATTGGATATTCATAGCATATATAAAGTATCAAGATATAGATTAAATAAATAATGCAACTCAAGATAAAGCTTGAATGGCTGAAGTTAACTTGATATGGCAGGATATATAAGCTAATATGTATAGACTGGTGAAAGTTCCTGGAGGAACTGCAATCAGGATAGTTACTAAATGTAGTTATATGTTTCATCTTCTCTGCCATCTCAATCGTTGATGCTATCCTTTTTAGTTTCCATAATATTTTCCAATGTTCTCGTGTTTAGACTTTGGATCTAGCTCCTCGAAGGTGAGAAAATTGCACTTTAGAGAATAAAGTGCAACAATAATCATTGATTAAAAAATCAAAGGTTGATATTATAATTAATTTTAAATTTTATTTAACAAGAATTTGATTTTATCACAAATCTTAATTGTTAATTTTATAATCAGCAATTGCGTGTGGACTTTATCCTTTAAAGTACTCCCCCCTCATTTCAGAAGAGTCAAATCCTTAGACTTTACAGTCTATTTCTTGGGCCCCAACTCCATATTCTGAGTTACCACCAAGTTTCAACTTTCTCGGACATCAAACATCGGAGAATGGCAATTTCATCTCTTCAAACACTAATGAAAAGTGGAGAGTGGGATTCTATCATTCAAATGGATATGAAGGGGTGAACTTTAAAAAGAGAGGAATAGAGTGCCCCAGCTGCTGTAGTGAGGCAGGGGGTTTGTCCAGTTCTGGGACATGGAAAACCCTTTTAAAGTAGAGACTCTCCATCCCATCTTAACAGCCTGGATTTTAGGATTGGGGTCTTCTTTACATTAAGTTGTATTGTATCAGAAATTGGTTTTCTGCCCCCCTGTGCGAATGGACTACTCTTTTCAATCTTATAGGACTGATGAAGGAGCATGATTACCATATCAGCCAGTTTTTAAGGCACAAAACTCCCATCCATTGAGGAGTCTTTCCCCTCTTAGCAACCTGGCACTTAGGAGTGGATTATCCTGGACATATTGAGCTCCACCCTAGTTGGTGTAATACTTCCTCCCAGTATTGGAAGGGACTATAACCTGTTAGATGTATGTGTCTGTGTTACAACATACCTCATTTTAAAACTAGACTGCTTTAATGGGATCATGGGCTGACTTGTACTTGTAGGAAATATAATTGCTAAAAGCTTAAGTTGTTAGTTGTGAACAGTATAGTTCCTAAACGCCTAAGATGCTAACTGCTGGGAATATATTTTCTTTGAATACCAACTCCTTAAATCTTAATCTATTAGGTTTAGGTGGAGACACATGAATGTTTTTAAATTTCTAGCACATTCATTATGCAAAAATCCTTGGGCTCTAAGCATGGCCAGTGCTTAAGACCATCATCTTACAAAATTACAATTTAATTATAAAGAATGGAAATGGCTTGGATGGAACTCAACTTCTTGGTCGTATAAGCTCTTATAACTTGTAAAGAGGCAGGATCTAGACAGAGCCTGCATTTTTTTATTTTTATTTTTTTTATATATCACCATTGAGAATCCCATGTTCTCAAAATTCTTAGTTGTTTTATTCCCTGTTTCATTGTATTTTTTTCTTCTGTAAAAGAGATAGTAACTTGTGTCTGAGATTTATTAGGAGAAAGAGCTGTGTACAGCTTGTAGTACAATTGTGTAGAACAAGATTAAAGCTATATACATTATACAATGATTTCTGATAAAACAATAAATGAGATTGCTACAATTTCAACATAAAACAAGAAAATAGAAAAGGACTTTACCAGAAAATGGTTTAGTTTTGTGTATGGAAGAAGTTTGGCTGTGTAGAAGGAGAAAACGTGTGCTTGTAAATCTTAGGCATCGTGTAGGAGTAGGGACAATTACAGAAGGGTAATAGTCAAGTCGTAGTGAATAAGAGCATGGTTGTCAAACTCGCGAGTCAATTCGTAAACTCGTACGAGTCTACGAGTCTAGGGTAGCCAAACGGGTTAACTCGCCCATAGACTCGTTTTTTGGTAGACTCGGGCTGACTCGGGTAGACTCGGTCAGAATCGCGAGTCTGAGGCCGAGTCCACGAGTCTGGTTCCTTTTTTTTTTCACCCCTAAATGGCCCAAAACGACGTCGTTTTACCTAGGGTTAGGCATTTTTCCCTTCGCGCGAAGATGCCTCCATCATTCTCACGTTTTTGACCTGGTTTCTCTCCCTCCGAGCGTTCGAACACTCATCTTCGCTGGTACGAACGTGCATCTCTGCTGCTACGAACGCCCATCTCCACCGCTACGAACGCCCATCTCCGCCGCTACGAACACCCATCTCCGCTGCTAGGAACGAGCATCTCCGCCGCGTACGAACGCTGCCGCTGCATACGAACGCTTGTCCTCTTGCTGGGAAGGACGCGGGTTTGTTTCTGTTTTCTCTCCCTCCGCTGCATCTCTGCTGCATACGAACGCGTCTACGTGAGTGCTATTTCTCACTCTAGCATTTTTTGATTTTTTGGTCTGTTAGTGTTATTCACAATTTATATACTTAGTCTCTTACTCCTAAAATTAGCAAGATGTCTGAAACCGGTGGTGGCTCAAAGTCTTCAAGCAATGCAGTTTCTTCTTCCAGAGCAAGGAAAAATGCCCTTGAAACCGGTGATTTAGATCTTGTTTTATGTTTTTGATTTGTGGACCTATGTGTTTTTGACTTTTTGTTGTTTATGTATGGTTTAAGATTTGTATTATGACATTTTATTGTCGTTATTTGACTTATTTCAGACTTAGAATGTTGAAATAGTGATATCATATTGTGTGTGTTCATGTTTTTTAATATCTTTTAATATTAGGTAGACTCTTACGAGTCTATGAGTCGAGTCTACGAGTCGAGTCTACGAGAGCTCCACGAGTTTGTGTAGACTCTCGAGTTTGACAACCTTGAATAAGAGGACTGATATGATCAAAGTTCAAAGTCCGATAACCTCCTATAAATTTTTTTACTATGATGGAAAATTACCATTTGACCAACTTATTGTAATATATTAGGTTCAATAACCTCTAACACACTCAGTTTACTATTCCTACTTGGTAGATGTTTTTATTATCTGACTTTCTCTTAGTAATTGTTACAAAAGCTTTCCCACTAGATTGTACATGGTAGTGAGCATATGGAATTATAAACTATACATTCATTTTTATATATAATTACTTCTTGTTTATTAACATGTTTTGGAGCATAATCCTTAGTTCTTAAAACTCATATTCTAAAGGTAGCAGTAATGGTTTGTTTCTTCTGATATTCTTACCTGGATTCATTTTAAGATGATCTATTTCCTATGTAATATATTCTTTTTATGATTTTATACATTTGCATATGAAATTGTGTTGAAAAAGCTGTCTGACAATATTATCTAAGCAACATTTTAGATAGTGATACCCCACGGGGAACCAGTTACTGTTGAAACATTTTTGGCATGGAGAGAGAGGTTTGAAGCTGAACTAGCATTGGAACGTGCCAAGTAAGCTCCTTTTAGTTTTCTAATTCCCTAATCTACAATTTGGAATACAAGTTTTCTGTAGATCGATGAATCTTCTCCATGTGTGACACGTGATTATCTGTGGGGGATGAGAGGATTGTAAATTTGAAATGTAGCAGTATAACAAATAACATAATAAAGAATTAGTCAACCAGTTCCTCAAATTCTGTTTAATAACCTGCCGTAACAACTTTCCTTTTGACACCAAAATAATTTGTTCTAATTGCAGGCTAATGCCAGAGGCTGCGCTCGCAGCTCCCAAGGAAAAGAAGCTCTCTGGTAGACAGTGGTTTGAAAGTGGAAG